AAAGAACCAAGAAGATGAATCCCTGCAGTCACGAAAGCTTTACATCGAAATTTCACGACGCAGTTCGTTGGCAGCTGTCGACGTTCGGTGCGCGATGCGCCGAGGAGCCCACGGGAACCTTCTGGTGTGTGACTCGTTTTCATTTTGTAAGCGCCTCGTTGGAAAAGGAGCCAGTGGGGTGGTGGTTAGGTGGTAATGGTGGTGGTGGTTAGGTGGTAACGGTAGTAGTGGTGGCGGTGGTGGTAGTAATGGGGTGGTGGTAGTGGTGGTGGTGGCGGTGGTGGTGGTGGGGTGGTGGTGGTGGCGGTGATGGTGGTGGTGGTGGTAGTGGTGGGGTGGTGGTAGTGATGGGGTCGTGGTGGTGGCGGTGGTGGTGGTAGTGATGGCGGTGCTGGTGGTCGTGGTGGTAGTGATGGTGGTGGCGGTGGTGGTGGTGGGGTGGTGGTGGTCGTGGTGGTGGTCGTGGTGTTAGTGATGGGGTGGTGGTAGTGGTGGCGGTGGTGGTGGTGGTAGTGATGGCGGTGGTGGTGGCGGTGGCGGCGGTGGTGGTGGTGGGGTGGTGGTGGTAGTCGTGGTGGTAGTGATGGGGTGGTGGTGGTGGTGGCGGTGATGGTGGTGATGGTGGTGGTAGTGGTGGGGTGGTGGTGGTAGTGATGGGGTGGTTGGTGGTGGTGGTGGTGGCTCACAATCTGTTGGTGGGGGCCGGGGGGGGGGGGCTCCAGCGGGCTCAGTAAGTCATTCGTTGTCAGCAGCTGGGGCTTTCCATAAATGCTGATTAAAGTAGGGGGGGGATGAGTGATGCTGCGGTGGTGTCGCAGTCACCACTGACAAAAGACGAGTAAATGTGCATCAAATAACCATCATTTGACCTGATCTGCTCCGTACCGTAAAATCTTTATGGAGAGCGAGCGAGCGAGCGAGAGAGAGAGAAGGGTGGGTGGGTGGGTGGGAGACAGATTTCTTCGCTGACGCACGGGCACTTGAAGCTTACTCCAATCAAGACTTCATCTATAAAACATGCAACAATCTACAGCCCCCATCCCGACGGCTCACACGGGCCCCAAAGCAGGGCCGGCTTCAATCCCCGATGCACGCCCCGTTCACCATCCACCATCCCCGCGCAACACATAATGCCTTTCCGATACTTGTTACACAAGACGACCAGGGCGGGTAGGGGAGGGGGGTGGAAGTGGGGAGAGGGAAGGGGAGGGAGAGGGAGGGAGAGAGGCAGGCGGAGATGAGTGAGACGGAGAGAGAGCCGAGAGAGTGAGCGAGAGGTGGGGGTTTACATAAAGCAAAGTTATTTTTAAAAAAAATCACGAAATGATAAACGAAGCAAAGTGCCGACTACACCGAGCATCTTTTTGTTTCCACTGATCGTAAAAAAAAGAGAGTGACCGAGAGAGTGAGCGAGAGAGTGAGCGAGAGGTGGGGGTTGACATAAAGCAAAGTTATTTTTATTAAAAAATTACGAAATGATGAACGAAGCAAAGTGCCGACTACATCGAGCATCTTCTTGTTTCCACTGATCGTAAAAAAAAAAGAGACGGAGTAGAATCGGGGAGAGAAGAGGCGAGCGAGATGGGGAGAGAGAGAGAGCGAGGAGGGAGGGGAGAGGGAAGGGGAGGGAAAGACGCAGGGAAGATGAGAAAAAAAGAGAGTGAGTGAGAGCGAGTGGGGGAGAGGAGTGAGATTGGGAAGAGGAGAGCGAGAGAGAGAGAGGGGGGGACATCAGGGAGAAGGAGGGAGGAGAGATTAAAAAGAGCTCGATTAATGGTTGCCCAGGCTGGAGGCCTGCCTCGGTATATGGGGGTGGGGGGTACAGGGAATGGGGGGGGGTCGTCTATTCTGGGACAAAGGCGAGGAGAGGGGGGGGGGGCTGTGGTTTATTTGCAAACGAAATCATAAACAACGTTGCTGTGGTCTTCTTTTCCCTACGGTCGCATGCCAGGTGCACGACGAGTTGGGACCACGCGTACAGCCCCAAATTAGAGATAGCCAGACGGTCTGCGGCCAGTTGCGAGATGTTAACTCCCTCGCCTGGTACGCAGGAGGTCGTGGGTTCGATCCCGATCCCGACCCTGACGCCTGCAGCTGCTGTATATTTGGAGTTTGCGTGTCTCTCTCTCTCTCTCATCATCATCACGGTGGCTAAGAGATGTTAACTACCTCGCCTGGTACGCAGGAGGTTCGTGGGTTCGATCCCGACCCTGACGCCTGCTGCTGAATATTTGGAGTTTGTGTGTCTCTCTCTCTCTCGTCATCATCACGGTGGCTAAGAGATGTTAACTACCTCGCCTGGTGCCCAGGAGGTCGTGGGTTCGATCCCGATCCCGACCCTGACGCCTGCTGCTGCTGTATATTTGGAGTTTGCGTGTCTCTCTCTCTCTCATCATCATCACGGTGGCTAAGAGATGTTAACTACCTCGCCTGGTACGCAGGAGGTCGTGGGTTCAATCCCGACCCCGACCCTGACGCCTGCTGCTGCTGTATATTTGGAGTTTGCGTGTCTCTCTCTCTCGTCATCATCACGGTGGCTAAGAGACGTTAACTACCTCGCCTGGTGCGCAGGAGGTCGTGGGTTCGATCCCGATCCCGACCCTGACGCCTGCTGCTGTATATTTGGAGTTTGCGTGTCTCTCTCTTTGCCTCGTGGTCTCGTGGATTTTCTCCCGCTCCTCCCGTTTTCCCCTCCACATTTAGAATCAACGTGCGCTTGGAGTATTTGGTTGATATATAAATATCCACGTGATGATGAGACACTGCGTTGAGCTATCATTTGTGGCCAGGTCGCTTCTGAAAATGAGCTATGTAGCTCAGTGGACCTTACCTGGTGAAATAAAAAAAATGTTGAATATCAAGAAAATAATGCTTTAGTAAATATATTACGTGTCATTTCCCCCACTTAGTTTTGCAATGTTATTTAGTGTGAACTAAGTGGGGTGTGGAATTAACTTAGGTACATTTTACGCAACTGGCCACCGTAGTTTATAAGTACTGCTACTAAATATATAATGTGTAACGTCTGCGAGTGAACTTGGTGCGATGGAACAAAGCCAAATTGGGACGCATCTTTCCAATATTGCTGTTTGTGTCCCAATGTGTAGCGATGGGAGAGGCGGGTGGGGGGGAGCGGTGGCACAGTGGTTAGCGCACTGTGGCATGAATGAACCCTGCGCACGGCTAACATCAGTGGCGAGTGATAGCTAGACAGGCCCCCCCCCACCCCTAATACAACGCGCAATGACCAGTCTGGCGAAATATGGTCAAGTCAAACAATCCCCCCTTGGGATGACTGGAACGGAATAGACGGCGGTGACTTTACGCGAACCCTTTAAGTTCGTAACGAGGTGCACCAAGAGAGTTTATTTTAAATAATAGTCATAACAGTAACGACAACGATTGTCGCCCCTTTGTCAATATCCTGTCGGATGTAAGACTCCCCAGGCTCGTTGTTCGTGGGGGTTATTTGACCATACTTCACCTCGCTGGTCAGTGCCGATTGGTGAAGGGGGACGGGGGGGGGGGCTCGGGACCGGTTCGGATATCGCTCGCCACTGGTGTTGGCCGCGCCGAGGAATCTAACTCAGACAACCGGGTTGTGTTGCGTAGTGTGCTAACCATCTGCGCCACCGCTCCACTCCCCGACATTTGTATTGCATATCAGTTGAATGCGACCTCAGCGTTGTACCTCGATGCTCGAATAACCTCAGTGACGGCGCTGAACCAGTGGAGGAAATTCCACGTTCGTATGGCAAGGACGGCCACTGCTGGTTTCACTACGTACAAGGTGGTACTGATTGTATTCACCCCATATGGATGATGATGATGATGGTGGGGTTAAGTGGACTTTGATCAGTTGGGAGACCTCGCTGTCGCGTCCGAGTCAGGCGTCACGGTCAACGTCCCACGGACGTCAAGGATACTTTGAAACATCACGTTCCTCAAAAGTAGTTTTAACCGATCCTCGTGTAGAATGTTTGCTCGAGTTAACTTTTCATTCCCTTTGCACGAAGCGGATGGGTTACACGTGTTCGACTCGGAGAGTGGAGCGGTGGCGCAGTGGTTAGCGCACTGCATTATGACCTCCGGTTGTGATTCCACCACGGCTAACATCAGTTGCGAGCTAAGCGCTCCCTTCACCAAGCCCTGCATGACCAGCGTGGTGAAGTATGGTCAAACAACCCCCCCCCCCCACACACACACACATGACCCATGACCGATATAGCAGTGCATTAGAACAAATCCAGCCGTGGGCTGGCAAAGATCTGTAAGCAACATTGCTTGTTTCAACATGGAAAACACGAAAATGAATTGGAGTTTAATGAAGTAGTGTACAGAGATGTACTGCATGCAGACACGCTCAGTGTTCACTTAAGACACCGATGTGCTTTACTTTTCGTAATGATTGTGTCACCTTCAAAAGAGGTGTATTTTGATGTGCGCTAAACATGTGCGTGCGTGCTATCATTTACGTGCTTTGAAGGAGCATTGCCCGAAACGTCGCCTATTTTATGAACAGTACACGCTTCCTTTTGAAGGCTACACGGTGCTATCGAGGAACGTGTTGAGTTTTGTTGATTTACAAAGTATGGGTACATTTACAAACAACAACGACAACAACCACAAAGACAAAGATCCCACGTATAGCCTGTAACAGACTGTTGGGGCAAGTGCCGTTAGCGAGCACCTATGAAGGTCGGCACGGCACACGAGGGGGCGGGTGGCCAGTACCACGCCCGGCCGCTTTTGTCTCCCCAGTGGCGATGTTTTACACATCGCACCAGGTACTCATTTGAGTCTGAGTCGACCTAGGAGAGGCCCAGGACCGCTTCGGATCAACCTCACGGGCGTTGGTGGCCGCGAGCGGTGACCGAACTCGGTTCGCCGGGTTCGTAGCGCGAGGCGCTAACCACATCGCCACCGCTCCCCGATAGCCACCACGTGCACAATTACCACGGCAGTGTGAAAATGCATGTTTGGCACGTGAACAAACTTACCGGGTATACTTCAGGGTCCATTCTGAGCCGAACATTCCATGCCCGTGCGAGGTGGAACAACCCTTCCCCCAGACACCCATTCACCAAACCAATTGATGTCTCCTAATTCTTATCGCGAGAGATTCACGTGAGCGGGCAACTCATCTCTTGTCGTTGTGTTTCTCTCTCTCTCTCTGTGTGTGTCTCTCACGACGGAGGTATCTTGATGCTGGCCGGCTCGGCTTCGACAAACTGAAACGAAGTGGGTTCGAGATTAAACCGGCGAATAAAAGGCGCGTGTGTATAGTTCGCAGTTGTCTTGCTTATATAACGAGATAGAGAGAGAGACAGAGCGAGAGTATTAAATTGATGTACCGTGTTAAGTGTGGTTTCTGCTGCGGCCGTTGCGTGGGTGAGAGTGCGAGAGAGTTGTGTTCGCTGTGCCAAGGTCGCGAGTGACTGAATGCAAAATACATCCTGCAGCGCATGCGTGCGCGCCTCCGTGTGTGCGTGCGTGTGTTTGTGCGTGTGTATCTGTGTGCGTGTGTGCGTGTGTCTGCGTGCGTGTGTGCGCGTGTGTGTGTTTGTGCGTGTGTGTGTGTGCGTGCGTGTGTGTGCGTGCGTGTGTTTGTGCGTGTGTATCTGTGTGCATGTGTGCGTGTGTCTGCGTGCGTGTGTGCGCGTGTGTATGTGCGTGTGTGTGCGTGTGTGTGTGCGTGTGTGTGCATGTGTGCGTGTGTGTGCGTGTGTGTGCCTGCGCGCGTGTGCGTGCACGCGTGTGTGTGTTTGCGTGTGTGTGCGTGTGTGTGCGTGTGTGCGTGTGTGTACGTGTGTGCGTGTGTGTGTGCGTGTGTGTGTGTGCGCGCCTCTGTGTGTGTGTGTGTGCGTGCGTGTGTGTGCGTGTGTGCGTGTGTGTGCGTGTGTGTGACCGGCTCCGGTTTAACAGCAGAGGTCTCACTCCGAATCAGTCGAGCGGCATTATCTTTTCATCCGTTGCGTAACGCTGTGTGGAAGCTACCTGGTCTGTCGCTCCGCACGAAGCTTCAGGTCTTCTCCGCCACAGTCATTCCTTCCCTTCTCTACGCTTGCAAAACGTGGACCCCCCTAATGGAATATCTTCGCCGGTTAGAAACATTTAGGCTGGGTTTAACCAGGCTGGATTGCGTGAGGAGCTCACAAATCCTTGAAAGATCTGGACAAAGTCCCATCGGTGAGCTCCTCCGGCAGGCAAGGCTGAGTTGGCTGGGTCATGTAGCCCGCATGCCCAGCCACCGCATGCCTAAACAGCTTTTGTTCGCCCGGATCGAGGGGGCTAAACGGGCGCGGCACGGGCTAGAGAAGAGATGGAGTGATGTGGTACAGGAGGACGTGGAGCTGAGTGGACTTGCCGATGACTGGTACCAGTGGTGTCAAGGCTCGTGAAGGACGCTACTGGGCAGTTGGAGGCAGTCGCCCTCCAACAACAACGGAGGGCGGAGGAGCGACGCTCACAACAACGAGCGGAGCGCCGGGTGGCTAAAGCACAGCAAGTTGGCACTATAGGGGGCATAGGTTGTCCATCAGCCAGCCGTCTCAGTCAGTCGACCTGTGGCACCTGAGTCTGCCCCGTGACCTCCTGCCAGCGGGCGTTCGACACTTCATGTGGCCTCAAGGTGTGTGTGCGTGAGTGTGCGTGTGCATGCGCGCGTGTGTGTGCGTGTGTCTACGTGTGTGTGCACCTTGTGGGGAGCGGTGGTGTAGCGGTTAGCGCGCCACGCTTCGAACCCGGCGTCCCGAGTTCGATTCCCGGTCAACACCGGTGACAATTCTCTGAACCGGTCCTGGGCGTCCCCTAAGTAGACTCAGCCTCAAATGAGTACCTGGTGCAGTGTGTGTAAATATCGTCACTTGGGAGGCAAAGGCGGCCGGGCGTGGTGTTAGCCACCCACCCCCTCGTGTGCCGTGCCGGCCTTCATAGGTGCTCGCTAACAGCACTTGTCCCAACAGTCTGTTACAGGCTATACGGGGGATCTTTGTCTTTGTTTTATTTACTCGCATAGCCTACATCTTTGTACCATAGGCTCCGAGTACATGTTAAAGCCAAAGACCCCCCATACAGCCTCAATAGGCTGTTTGGGCAAGTGCTGTTCGCAGGACCTATTAAGGGCGGAACAGCAAGCGCGGGCGTTGATGTGTCCGCAAACGAACACAAGGCGCCTTCATCTCCCGTAGTGGGTGTTCGTTTAGGGCTGAGTCAACCTAAAGGGGGGAAGCTCAGGACAGGCTCAGAAATGCATGATTTAACAATTGGGAAACATCAATGGCTGGGACTGGTCTGTCGATAAGTGTGTTTAATCAGCATGCACATCCACCGCATTAACAATACATCACTCGAATCATTTTCATCCGCTCCGGGACGATGGTTCTCCCCACGCTGTGTCGGTCACGGGAGGGTGGGCGGTCTGTCCATACTTCACCACGCTGGTCAGTGCGGTGTCGCTTAAAGGGGAGTCCCAGGACCGGTTCAGGTGTCACTCGCCACTGATGTTAGCCTCGGTCCGGCGTCGAACTCAGGCGGGCTTGGCTTGGGAGCGCAAGTTTACGTGGTTTATTGTGAAAATTCGGTCACAGTTCCTATGAGCACTGTTTCATTGCTTTTATGGCTTTATTTTGGTGATTTTCGAAACGTTTTTTGGTTTGGCCATGTTTGTTTGTTGTAGTACAGAGTTTGACTGATGGCCTTAATCTAAGTTGTCTTGTGGTTGTTGTTGTTGTTGTTTGACTTGCATCCCACTGGAATATTTTCACAGGGTTGATGTACGGTGATTTTTCTGCAATATTTTGCTGTCTTTTCTTGGATTTTCTGTTTGCACATATTCGCTTTAAGATGTTTTCTTGTTCATGTTTTAGTTTTTTGTTTGTTGCCGTTGCACCCGATTCAAGAGCCGAATGGCTCACAGGGCGATACCCAATAAATGAACTTTGAACTTTAAAGTCGGCACGTTAAACGTTTCACCGCAGATCCACGACGTGACGTCAGAATCTTCGCTCACCGCGGAGGAGGAATCCGATGAGCTATGAAGCTCTTTTCTCACAGGCGTTACAGTAGGAGCGGGTCAGAAAGTTACAACAGCAAAAAGTTAAAACAAAATACGACATGGGTGCTAAGTATGGGAGAGGTAAACAAGCCACGCTAAATAAATATACAAAGTATATCAATTCAAACTGCATAAGCACTTAAATTCCTGTCGATTTTTCAACACTAAACGCAACATTGGACAAGGCAACAAAACAACAACAACAGTCCCGGACCCCACCAAGACAACAACAACAACAACACAGCCTCGTAATAAAAGTGCACATTACAATTAAACTATCGATACGTGCAGTCGAACACACACAGCGATTAGCGTCCCTGCGCTATGAACCCGGCGACCCGAGTTCGATTCCCGCTCACGGCCAACACCGGTGACGATTATTTGAACTGGTCCTGGGCCTCCCCTAGGTCGACTCAGCATCAAATGAGTACCCTGGTGCGGTGTGTAAACATCGCCACAGGGGAGACAAAGGCGGCCGGGCGTGGTGCTGGCCACCCACTTCTCGGTGTACCGTGCCGTGCCTTGATAGGTGCTGCTCGCTAACAGTGCTTGCCCCAACGGTCTGTTACAGTGTGGGCTTTTTGCTTTTATTATTTTACATTTATTCTTTTTAATTGTAACTTTTCTATTTTTCTATCGACGTGACTTTACCGAAAGAACCAAGAATATGAATTCCTGCTGTCACGAAAGTTTAAGTAAAAAATTAATAATAATAATAGTTCAATTTATAACGCGCGCAAAATTTGCAGACGTAGTGGCCGCAACTCAGAGGCGCGGAGCCAAGCTCAGAGTCGCTCGAAAGCACGTGATTGTAGAGGTGAGTTTTTAAGTCTCTCTTGTTAAGGCATTAGGCTGCGTCTGCGGCAGCGGCGGGAGGGGAGATGATCTTTGGTGTTTGTCTTTCTCGTTGTAGTGACCCTCTGGCTCAAACTGCTGTCTTTGTTGTCTACCAGCAGCGCCTCAACCTCGAGACAGCGAGCGGCTGGGTGAGCGCGCGCGCTGTCGTTCCATCGTGTGACAAAGGAGCCCTCGACGTTCATCGGATTCCTTCCGGTGAGAACACACACAAACAAACAACAACAACAACCACGACACCACCGACGATTCCCAATCGAGTCGCCGTCGCGTCCCCTCTCGCTTGGCCGAGGCCTGTCGCTTCCCGCTGAATTCCCGGCCCACGTTTGGCCGGCGGGAAGTGGAAATTGACCGATCGGAGGAGGGCTTCAGGCTCAGACGCAAATCTAACTGAGCCGCCGATATTCTTAGGTTTTTTCGGTAAAGTCACGTAGGTAAAAAATTAAAATTAATAAAAGTAAAATAAAAAAACACGACATTTCGGAGGCAACACAAGCTTCCGTCTTCAGGTGGAACCGTCGTGTTTTTTATTTTACTTTTATTAATTTTAATTTTTTACCTACGTGACTTTACCGAAAACGCCGATGTCATCCGCGACCAGTGACCGCGGCCTGCAGCAAGGGCTGTGCTCGATGTGGTGTGCCGGGTGCAGGGATTTTTTGTTTTACGTTTCGCCGAACCGCGCGGACGCAGGCTAAAAAATAAATTCAGCTTCGACAGCGTCTCGCGTGCGTCGAACTTCTTTCGCGCCGTACGTATCCGACCGTGTTGATCGGAGGCGCGGGCAGATCGGAGGGTGTGATCATCACCACCGCCGTCGTCGTCATCGTCAGCCCCGGTCCATCCACTGCTGGATGACGGCTACGTCAATCTCTCGTCAGCGTCTTCTCTTTCGCGTGGTCTGGCGATGCCCCCTGCCCTGGTACGCGGGCTCGGCTCGTTCTTTGTCCACTTCCATTACGAGTGGACGATCACAGCAGCAGCCACATCTCCAAGATGTTGACTACCTCGCCTGGTGTGCAGGAGGTCGTGGGTTCGATCCCGACCCTGACGACGCCTGCTGTATATTTACGGTTTGCGTGTCTCTCTCTCTTCGCGTGGTGAAATGTTAACTACCTCGCCTGGTTTACAGGAGGTCGTGGGTTCGATCCCGACCCTGACGACGCCTGCCGTAGTATATTTGGAGTTTGCGTGTCTCTCTCTCCCCGTGGTGAAATGTTAACTACCTCGCCTGGTTTACAGGAGGTCGTGGGTTAGATCCCGAGCCTTACGATGCCTGCTGTCTATTTGGAGTTTGCGTGTCTCTCTCTCTCCCCGTGGTGAAATGTTAACTACCTCGCCTGGTTTACAGGAGGTCGTGGGTTCGATCCCGACCCTGACGACGCCTGCCGTAGTATATTTGGAGTTTTCGTATCTCTCTCTCTCCCCATGGTGAGATGTTAACTACCTCGCCTGGTTTACAAGAAGTCGTGGGTTAGATCCCGAGCCTTACGACG